TTCATCAAAATTTAAAACTTGTTCTTCAAAAGACACCATTAAGAAAAAAAAATTTTAAGTCACAAACTGGGAGAATATAACTACCAGTCATATTTACGATAAGGGACTTCTATCTCAGACATATAAAAAACTCTTACAAATCAATAAGACAACCCAATTAAAAATGGGCAAAATATCTGAATAGACATTTCACATATGATATACATTATGCTAGTAAACACATGAAAAGATGCTTATTGTTAGTAGTTATTATAGAACTATAAATGAAAATTCATTAGGATGTCTATAAGCAAAAAATGAACAATATCAATTATGACCAAGTATGTTGGAACTAGAACTCATGCACTCTGGAAAACAGTTTGCAGGTTCCTTAAAATGTTAAACGTTGACTTTCATACCACCCACCAGTTCTACTCTTAGAAATCTTCTCAAGAGAAATGAAAATACATGTTCATGCAATAACTTACATACAAATATTCACGGCAGCATTATTTATAATAGTTCTAACCTGGAACAATCCAAATGTCCATCAACTTGTGAAAGGATAAACAAAAAGTAGTATATCCATACAATGAAACACTACTGGACGATGAAAAAAGAATGATGTAATGATACATTCTACAACACATTATGCTGAGTAAAAAAAATCAGTCATAAAAGACTACACATTGTATCATTTCTTTTATATAAAACTTCCAGAAATATTTAATCTAGAGACAGCAAAAGTAGATTAGTGCCCGGGGCTAGGCTGGGAGTGGGGATTGGCTATAAACTCCATGAGGGACCTTTGTGGAATGATGGAAATGTTTCAAAACTGGATTATGATAATGGTTGCACTTTATACTTTACTAAAAATATCTGAATGGATGAATGGACTTTACAATAAGTAAACAATACTTCAATAAATGCTTTAATTTAGAGTGCTGAGTGGCTATGTCCCTCAGCACTAGCCAGTACCTACTTTTAATCTTTTTTTTAAACCAGATTGGTTATTTTAAAAAATTACATCTCATTATTCTTAATAGTGTACATTTCTTTGATTTCTAGTAAAACTAACATTTGTGTCTACTTAGTCTTCGTTATTTTCCTATAAAGATATACATCTTTTCCATAAGGAAATGTGGGATGCTATCTTTTTAAAATAGCAAACCTTTTTTCAGTATATGTGGTACAAACATTTATTCCCAGTTTTTCATAAATTTAAAATTTTTGTTAACAGTTTTTTTTTTTGCCATCTTGAAATATTCATTTTCATGTAGCCAAATTTATCTGTGTTTTCATTTACAGTTTCTGTTTTTGGTGTTATGACAAGTAATATTCTTTTCAAAATTAACTATCACAAAACTTGATCACTGTTAGTTAAGCATCCCCTGTGCTAATAAGTCCAATGCCACTGCTACTGGGCCTTCCATTTCAAGGAAACAGATAAAAATCTAATTTCGAATTTCAAACCTAGAGGCAGATGGGCTTTCCTTCCTTAAATCTTTACTTTAAGTGTCAAGAGACATGACCGTTTACATGCCAAATTCATGGAAAATTGCTTCATTAGAGAATTTCTGATGTGATACGTTAGACATTTAAAATAGTTCTAGTGATAAGGAACTGGAAACTATTAACTAAAAGAAAGATGTAAAAATCTATTTCCTGTTGCTAATCATGCCAGGACTGTGATTCTAGGTCTTGTTGTCTGATGTCTTTGTAGAACATCAAATCATCACATAACAACATGACCACTGTGGGCATTTGTGGATGTCTGACCAGAACAGTCTAGAGCTCAGTCACTCATTGTCTCACTACCACCTGAGTCCATGAATGTTATCATTTCCTTTGTAATTCCACTCATCCACCACCCGTTACCTGATACAGGAAACTCACCTTTATTTACATCTCACAAACTTAGAGATTAATATGCACTGAAGAACTCTTCACTAAGTGCTGTATTACTTCACAAAATACTATAGTATTTATAAGAAACCATTTGACTTAATGTAGCTATGATTATCACACACAAAGACACACATGAAACTTACAAAGAAATGTCATGAGAACATTTTAATATTAATGCAGATGGTATTACAGCCCTGAAGTTGCATAACTGAGGGCTGGTCATGTTAAGATACAATCAGGAGACACATCTGAATACCGGGTAACCAAAAATGCCTCTGACTTCTTCTTTGTATAGTTGAGTTATACCCACACTTTTAAGGCCAGCCCAAAGTTAACTTTCTTTCCTTATCTTTCCTACTGTTTGTGGAATCTATAACTACACATTCTGGAACATATACACAGTCTTATGTTATTCAACTGTTTTGTGCCTGCTAGTCTTACCACCTTATTAAACACAAGCTCCAAGAAGGCAAAAACAGTATGTTCCTGTAGCATTAAAACAGGGCTAGGATTCCAGATGTTTTCATTGACTTCATCTGTCCCACTTCTTGCTCTGCAGAACAACTTACTTAAATGCTCATTAAATAACATTTCTTGATTTCTAGGAAAAGTTGATCCAGGGGGCTACGAAGGCAAAAAAAAAAAAAAAGTACTATGGGGACATTTTAAAAGTTTCGTAGAGCAGACAGTTCTTTAGTCAAGAAAAATATTGTGTAGTATGTAAATGCTTTGGCAATTACCCCAGCTTTAAAGATGTTGAAGAGCTATGCATGGATTGTCTCCAATTCTTTTTTGTATCTAAGCAGGCTTTACCTAATGACAGTAGTTTCTTGCATAAGTTCCACTGAACTTTAGGATTCCATGAGGCTGCTCTAATATTTGACTGACAGATGGGCTGGCAATGATCACTGTGTTTAATCTGAGGTTGTTCTTGCTCAGGTGCCAACTGAGGTCTTTAGGCTTTAGCTATAAACGGGAAGCCTTCCTATTAATCAAGGAGAAGTTTTCCATCACTGGAGAACACTCTGATGTCCTGAAGGATGACACATAGGTGCCTGTACAGAATTTAGCCCCTAGTCTTAGGCTTACTGGCTAGCTTATGCATGGGGGTTCCCTGCCTTCCAAAGAAATAAAACCATAATTGTTATTTTAGTGCTCTTTTCTTCTTCCCTCCGTCCCCTTGAGAGAGGTAGACAGTTCCCCTATAAGAATAATGGTTTCAGCAACTCTGGCCCTTGAATAAACAGCTATGAAGGGTTCCATCATCAGGGTCCATTATACATAAAGTGTGCACACCTAACGTACTGTTTATGTAAACATGTTAATAATTCCCAGGAAAAAAAGATGGCCCCCAGCTCACTTACTCTGTAACCCATATCTTGATTAGTTCCTTTATGGGAAAGCCTCTACTAGCATTCCTAACCCATCATTAACCCTCAGTCAAAATGATGACAATGGTGACATCATTTAATATTCTAATTCTAGTAAAACAGGGCTAGGAAATACTTTCATAAAATGTAAGTTTAAATAATAAATCTCAAGCATTAGTCTTCTTAATAGGCCATCTGTCTTCTTACACTGGGAGTACGTTTGGATTTCCTAAACTCCTCTTGACCCACCTTTTCCTAAATGAGTACATAATGGGTGAGAATAAGACTTTGGCATCTATAGTATCCGATCAAATCTTTACTAGTAGTTATTGGTTGGTGAGATGCAGGACAATTTATTTCTTTAAGTCTCAGTTGAATGGGGATAACACTGCTCACAGTGTTTTGAGAATTAAATGAGATAATGCAAGTCAAATTCTGCATAGCGTGTTGTGCACACAGTATGTGCACAACAAACTAAGAGTTTTAAACACTTTCAATTACTATTATTTTTAAAAAATAGAGTAGGAAGCAAGTTTCCACCCAATTCTCAGTAATAACATATAAGGGAAAAGCTTCTGAGTTTTTTAAACTTCAGTATTTTAAAGTAATGCAGTCACTCACACACACAAATTAGTCCATGGTCTTTGATAAAACAGGATATTAGGTATAATTTTCCTTCAAACTGAATACCCACACTCGTTGACACCGTTGGAAACACTGAGGCTGGCGGTGGGAGGACGCAAAGCACTTGCTCAGGAACCAGCCATCACACATTGGTTTCTCAGGGAGGAGGAAAGCCTTCCCTTCCTTCCCTGGGAAAGTCGCAGCCCCACCCCGAGGCAGATTTGTGTCTCGGAACGTGGTAGTCGGCGTCCGGGGCCTGCGCAGAAGCGGACAGTCCGCAAGGGGTGGAAGATGGGACAAAAATGACTCCAGTTTGCTTTACACGCAGAGGAGCGGACAGCACGGACCCCGCCTTCCCCAACTGAGTGTGGGTTCCAGTCACTGGGGAGGACCTGTTGGCCCCCTGACCTTGGACGAGCCATATTGGATACTCCGGCGCTGTCCCGCCTTCCACGCTGCCAACTCCGCTGCTCTCGCCGTGAAGCGCGGGTAGGTCCAAGCCGCCAGGCCCCGCCTCGCCGGCCCCAGTCCTGATTGACACTGGAGTTGGTACATACGGGTCTGCTGCGGAGGCGAGCAGGAGGGTGAGCGCTATTTTAAACATGGCTTTCTGTCTCCCTTAGCCTCGGAGCCACCACGGCGGCGCAGCCAGCCGCGAGCGCAGCCAGCCGCGGGCGCAGCCGCATGGGAATAACCCCAACATTTGCCCGATTTATTTTCTTCACCCTCCCTATGTTTGGACGTGTTTTTCTCCCCTCTCTGTTTTTCCTTCACACTAATTCGCTACCTGGCAGTTTGCAAAGAGGAAACTCCCCTTCGGAATGGAAAGCCGCTTTTGCGTCTTGTTGTACGGGGAAACCATTCCAGCAAGAATGAGTTCAAAAAGAGGGGAAACGGCGTCACTGGAGAGAAAGTAACATTCAGAGATCGACGAGGACAGAGGGAGGGGGAGAGGGAGAGAGGGATGTCTGCAACAGGCATCTAAAAACAAGTGTGGAGAAGCAGAGATTCCCAGTCCCCCGGTTACTACCGCGCGCGTTCTGCGCAAGCCATTGCAATGCCAGGATTCACTGTAAGCACAATTTTAAGGCCTTTTAAATCTTTTTTGGTAAGACTTACCTTTCTCTTCGGCATAATGACTATGTCGGTGAAGCAAAAAGTAAAGCAACCGGCTGGAACTGCTGGCGCTGCCGCTGGATGCTGCCTCTGCTGCTGCAGCTGCTCACACGCAGGGCACGGCGTAGCCCGGCCTCTTCGACCTGCACCTCCGCGGCTCCCTCCGGGGGCCCTCTGCTCGCCTCCCTGCTGCTCCAATGAGGAGCCCCGCCACCCGGCCGCGAGGCCCCATTGGCCGAGGCAACGTTCTAAATTCCACGAGGGCACGCCCACCTCCGCGCGCGGTACTCGCTGTTGTAGTTGCCACTTCACCGAAAAATCTGCCTGGCGACTGAGCATGCCCAGTTCAACTAGCAGCCCCCAGGCCACACACTCCTGAAGGTTCATTGTTTCTCTGCTCTCTCTTGGAGATTGTAAGAGTAAGAACAGTGTGTGCCTTCATAGGAAGGAAAAAGAGTAACAATGAACACGTAAACTTTATAATGTAAGTAGATACACAGCAGGTACTTTATACATTTCCTACCCATAAAGACTTTTAATGAGTGTTACATGATGGGGACCTGTAAAGAGTGGGAAGGTACTCTGTTCTGGAAGAGCGTGGCAACCTCTAAAGGTCTCAGTTTCCTCTTCTAGATATGCAGTGACAGCAGTCCCTAAAATAACTTAGCTCTAATTTTCTAAAATCTGTGATTATAAATCACTCACTAATAAGGCCAACTTCAAACTAGATGTGAAGAGGAATAGGACATGTTTATTATGGAAATTAGGAAAAGAAAGAACAAGATAAAAACTGATTGTTTTATATTTGAGACATATATTTGAATCACACCTGTCATGTTACACCTTATACATAATGTTTCTTAACGTTCTGCAAGGCATAAAATGAGCATTGCAAAAATACTTCTGAATTCATTTTATGAGACCAGATTTACTCTGCTATCAAAACCAGTGAAAGACTTCAAAAGAAAAGAGAGTTACACACCAATATCTCTCATAAAATAGACATAAGAGTCATGAACAAAATTTTAGTAAATGAAACTCAACAACATTTAAAGGGACAATACATCATGACCTGTGGGGCTTATCTTGGGAATGCAAAGTTGCTTTTTTAATATCTGAGAATCAATCGATATAATTTTCAGAATTAACAGAATAAAGGGGGAAAACAATCATTTTAGCAGATGCATGAAAAGTGCTACTTGAATGGGTAAGCTAATTGTGATGAACACATACAGTGGAATACTACTCAGCAATAAAAAGGAATAAATTTTCCTACATGGGTGAATATCAGAAACAAAATTCCGCATGAAAGATGTCAACTACAAAAGATCACAATGAATGACCTCATTCATATGAAATTATAGAAAAAGCAAAATTGGGCAAAGTTAGTTTCAGAATCAGCAGGCAAAGCTCACATCTGTCGAAGCCTTTTATAAATATGGCTAAATCCACTTTGGTAACACAGAGGCTGCAAATATGTATTAAAAATATCTTCAAAGAATTAAGTTTAATATTTCACTTTTTCTTTAGTAATTTTCAGAATAAATTAATTGATCTAGCATACCCCAGAGGTAGTTAATGACTTTCTTTTTTGGAACATCTTTATGAACTCATGGATTTTTATATATTTGGTGTGCATCAGTGTATTGCTATCATTATTATTACCTTTTTAATGCTCATGTTACCGTATCTTTAACCAATGCATGCCTCTTCAAATTAGTGCCTGTGTTCTTTTGACAGGATCCCAACCATTTTTGATAGATTCCTTTTTCTCAGACATTCAGTGAATGACAATAGTATACTCAAACAAACTAAGATAAAAACCAGTTGCCTAGAGCTAGATAAAAGTTTACAAGTTAATAATTTTACCATTAAAATAATATTTATAATGAAGATTTCTTGCAAGAGATTAGTCTGCCAAGTGCTTGATAGTTAAAAAAAGAAAAAGTCAGTGAAAATATTTTTAATAAGATATGTGTGAGAAAGATACTGAGTAGCACTTGCAATCTGGATGGCTATGTTTCTTTATGGAGACGGAAAAGTGCCACATCAAAGGTAGTGGCTTCTTTGTTAATTTTTTTCAAAACCAAACAGTCCGATCAACAACAGCAAACAAAATTGTAAATGTTTTTGCTGCACATAATAAAAATTATCCAATGAAACTGAAGCTTGCTTGTTGGATAATGAAAGTTTACTGTGGGGACCTTGAGTCCTTGGAACCTTTAGTTCCTTTACAAGTTATGAAAATAACAGTTTTGGTTGAAAAACAACAGCATCGCTTATCTTTCCTTTGATGTAGATTGCACCTGTCTGAGCACTACTCTAGGAAATGAAGTGTTCTCCCTTGTACCTTGAGTAGCCTTCAGGATCTGGGAAAGTCAACACAAACCTCTACTGGTGGCCCTGGAGGTAAGAGGAGTAGGCAAAGAGAATGATTTGGCGGATACCTAGAATTCTAGGCTAAGAGATAAAGACATCTGGGCAGAAATGAGCATGTCACATACAAGACAGTGAGGAGGTCATGCTGGTAAGAAGTACAGACTCATTTATTTATTCCATTGAGCATTTCTACTACTTTGGAATATCAGCCTCTAAGACAGTAAAAGTAGGATGCATATACTATAGCTAAGATAGACATGGATAAATTAATAGAGTTACTAAGAAAGAAAGAAGAAAAAAATAGTGAACAAACTTGTTTTCCAATTCCAGCTCCTCTCCTCTTTTTTCCTACTCAAAACTATTGGAACTGTACAACTACTCCACATATTTCAAACAGCAGAGCAAAAGCATTTATAGTGTCATGACTATCATTAAGGAAGAGAAAGAGACAGAGACATTGACAGACACAAACACACACACATACACAGAGTGAGAGAGAATGAGAGAGAGAGAGAGAAAGAAAGAGAGAAGGGAAGGATACGAAAAGCAAAGAAAGGGCCAAGTAAAGAAAATGTCAAGAGTGTATTTCACATGGTAAAGGCAAATAATCTTTCATAAGATAATTGTTTCTATTTTCCATATGTGCTCATATAAACACATGAAGAACACATACATGTATGTGTGTGCATTGGATTGTGACATGAAATATGTATTTTAGTATGGTGTTGATCAAAAAAATTGAATGCCACTGCCAATGAATCTTGTGGATCTTTGGCATTCCAAAAAATGCTTAATATTAAAATTGCTTTAGAGGTAGGATCTGTCTGCTGCCCCAGGCTGGCATGCAGTGGCACAATCATAGCTCACTGAACCTCAGACTGCTGGGCTAAAGAGATCCTTCTGCCTCAGCCCCCTGAGTAGCCATGTAAGCCACCACACCAGGCTTGAGAGGAAGTTTTCAAAGGAGAAAATAATTTGCAAATCACCTCCCTTTTGATTCTCTTTTCCTCCTTTAGGCACACACAGACGGGCTCCCTTAGGCTTTTGCTGTAAGTAATGACAAATTACTAGAGAGGTCAGATCTAGAATCTACATATTGTTGCTTCTGATAGTTGCAACTGTACATCTACTTTGCATTTTTCAGACAGCAGGACAAAAAAAATGATAGTCATGACTCTTGTTAAGGAAAAGAGACAGAAACATAGAGACAGAAACATAGACACACACACACACACACACACACACACAAACACACAGACAGAGGGAGAGACAGAGGGAGAAAGGAAGAGAGGGGAAAAGTGAAAATGATAGAGTGTTGCTTCTAATAGTTTGTAATTCCAGATTAAGTTACTATTCTTCCATAAATAGGCCAAAAAAATTACACAGTGAAGAATTCAGGTGTGTAACAAAACAACATCAAAAATAACAAATAAGAGGTGGCAAAAGGATATTTTGTATTTTCTAGTCAAATCTCTACTTTGATTGGGTGCTAACTTTTGAAGAGCCCAAGGTTAATTTTTACAAAACAAGGAGAGTCCAAGAGCCAATGGTCCCAAATCCAATAAGCAGCCTGATAACAGTGCAGATCCCCAGGCCTCAACCCCATGGTATTAAATGGCTAGGCTTGGGAATCTGCATTTTCAAATGAGCTTTTCATGTGTTGATTACACTATAATTTGGGAATTCTAGACTAGGCCCTTGCTCTCAACAAATATTTGCTGAAGGCTGCTACTTAGATTCTGATGACAGATATCTACAAAAGCCTTTGGACTTCTTAACACACTTGTGGAGCAGGAGCATAATTCTGTGAGTGAAACTTGCCCTGCAGACCTCACCTTGTGCTTTTGCTCTATCTCAGTTTTGCTGGGCACAGCCTGCTTACTTCACAGTTTTCCTCTTCTCTAGTTGCAAGAAACCTAAAGAATAATTAAAAACTCCACACATCCGGATACCTAGAAAAGTCCATTCTTCTTCCCAGGCAGCCCTCTAGGCAGCTCCTTTGGCCCACATGAAATGAAAATTCCTGACCCCAAATCCTCAAAGGGAACATACCTTGGCCAAAGCCCCACAAGCCACACCCTTTCAAGGCTAAATGTTAGTGATTACATAAGCATATCTCAACCATATTAATAACAAGAGGAGTCAGGGTATTCCGTGACCTTCCAAGGAACTCACTCTTTTGTTTTCCCAGCCTTAGATCAAATTAATATTTGTGAAGATTCTTTACCCCAGGTATGTTTTACACAGTTTTCCCACCGCTGGTACTTTTCAGGTTCAATCTCTTTGGTATTTACCTCTCTTTCTTGCTCCTGCTGCTTAAGCTCACAGGAGTGTGATTAATTTGCTCTTTATAGCTACCAAATGACTATTTGGGGATGAATTAGATAGGATCAGTGGCTAGAACCAGGGATTGGACCACACTGGTTTAGCCATTCCTTTCTGTCAGATTGTTAGCATGGCTGGTGCCAAGAGCCATCTAGGCTTAAGGAGGTGAAAAGGTTAAGGGAAGGAAATCCCCAAAGTTCATAGTGAGGACACAGCAAAGTAAGGACTCCATCCCATCCCATTAAGTAAAAAGCCACATGCTGCAGGTGCCAAAAACCAGTTAGTGGTTGTTGCAGAGCCCTCCAACTGAATTGCACATTCTCAGTGCCAATACACTCTCGAATACAACCACACCCTCTTCTCTAAGCTACCAATTTTGACTACCCATTTTTTGTGTCTTCTACATTTTCTTCAAATCTCAGAATCCCTGGGAGCTTGTAAAGAACATCCCTGTCACTACTCCCAAGGGTCCTGCCTTTCAGAGATACCATACCATTTTCCTTTTCTCAACGAAAGCAAGAAAATGCTGGTTTGGGGAAATGAGAATCGAATGAATCATTCTGAAAACTACCATATAGCAACTGGAGAT